CAGCCCTTGGGAAGCAGAACCCAAACCAGCTCCAATCCTGGTTCTCATGCACCCCAAACTCCCCATTCAGTGAGGTAAGGGCACCCAGGGATGGAAACTGTCCAGCCTGGCCTTGGAGAGACTGTGGTTTAGTCCAGGGGGTCTGCACTGGTGTCCTCTGACTTTCCAGGACCTCAAGGCTTTTCACTGCAGAAGGTGTTGAGCTCCTTCTTGTTCCCTTGTCCTGATCGCCATCCTGGGTGAGTTAAGGAGCAAAAGCCAGCTACGGCTGCTTGCATAGACAGTCAACAGCACCTCCAGGAGGGTTTCTGGTTTGGGTGGAAATGGTCTGCTTGTCCTGTTCCCAGCTATGAAGCCTTTTCCAAGCTGTTTTTAGGATTGTTTTTTCCTCTCTTTCACACCTGTGGGTCTCCATTGATCTTCAGGGACTTGCCTCTGGTGTCCTTTAGACAAGCTGAGTCCTTCATTATAATCTGTTTCATTACACTGTTTCCCCAACACCATCCTTTAGCAGACAGGCAGTAGCAAAGGACAGATGCTTGGGGTCTGTTTCTTCTTTGCAGTGATAGCAGCCTCTTATGGTGGAGACTGCTCTGGGCTTTAGCAAAGCAGGATGACAGCCTGTGCCTTCAGACAGCCTGGAGCAAGCACCCTAGACATGCACAAGCTGCTTCATTTCTCAGGTGCTTAGCTCTCTAAGGCTGTGTTTGTTTCATTTTTCACCCTGCTATTTGTCTGAACAGGAACATCCAGTTAGTGCTCTTATCCAGTAACTCTAATCTTCTTCATGTCTTCGTAGATGCTCAGGCTGTTTCCAGTGTAACTGGTGAAGCCTCCAGCCCCTTCCACAGTGTTCTTTTCCATATGGGTAGTGTTAATCCAAATCCTAGCTGCAAGCTGAAATCCCAGGTGCAGCATAATTACATTTAAGATTTACAGGGGGAAAAAAAAAAATTGAAATTGTCAGGATGACCCTCTTGGGCATTTGCTGGGATTGCTTCGGTTTGATGTTTGCAGCAAAACTTCCACTTTACCATTGTCAAAATGGTGTGAAAAACTCTAGATTTTACTGCAAACTAGATGGGACTGTCCTAGAATAGTGAAACTGGTCCATTCACTGCCTTGAGACAAGGTTACTATGGCCTATGCTGTGTTTAATCTGTTTGCAGAGACCTCCACCTCTGCCTGTGACAACTGAGAAGTCCTTAGGCCATTGCAGGGGAGAGTATTTGAACACATGAGTTGGAGCCCAACCCTCTGAGATAAGATGGGACATAGTCTTAAGAGGGAAGGGATAGAAACCTGACTGTCATGATCTGGTCTGGTCTCCTCATGGAGCACCAGGAAGGACAGGGATTCAGTGTTCTTGGTGCCAGCTGTAGAGGAGGGGGAATGGACAGGCCTGTCTAATGAGCAGTCTCCTCCATCCTAGATCATGTAGTCCTTGAAGTATCAAAGTATTCTTGGGCCAACCTATCAGCATTTCGCATTTAAGATGTATTGAACCATTGCTCTCTGGTATAACTCCTACATCCGTATTAAAGTTGATGATGAACTTTAGCAGAACTCGAGTGCTGACCTTGAAGGTGTTTCTTGAATCACATCATCCAGATTGCGGGTAGGATTTATGTGGTCTCCACAGTTCACATAGCCCAAAACAGTCTCTGTTCATCCATTGCTGCTCGGTTGCAATAGGATGTAGTCCATTAATACACCTGTGTCAGAAGTGACCTTGAATTCATGTTGATTTTGTAGGGATTTACTTGTGTTTGTTCAGGTACGATTTACTTTGGTAATTCCTATGAGCTGCAGAGGGTGATGGCCTTTGCCAAGTATTTTACCACGTGCCCAAAGGCAGATGTTTGAATTATATTTTTGATCACTGCAAATGATGCATTCCCCCAGGACCAAGCTCACCTAGCTTGCTAGGGAAAATAGCCTGTTCCTGTGAAAATCCTTAATTTCAGGTGGGAACTCTCCCAGCTAGCTTTTTGTTAGGCAAGTGTCTGGATTTCTCTTCCTATTAAGCCACTAATCAGCGAATAGAGGTTGTGGCATTTGCTCCTTTCCAAAGGCAAACTAGAAACAGAATAGGGTTGGTTCAGTCTCGCTTGTATGGTTAAAACAGGTGAGGAAAGTGGAAATAATTCCTGATACATGGGGATATAGGGTTGTGGGTGATATGAGAGCAGTACTGTGAATTTGGATCAAGTTTTGGTGCATAGTCCTCTGTAAACAATGCAAAATTGCAGCGCTTCTCATATCAGGTTGACAGTAGGCTTGTTACAAATACAATTATATCCACATTAGAAAAATTGGGGTAGATAAAGGATGGGAGAGATCACATATCCTACTGCACCATCATCCAGACTAAAGCTCCATAAAGTTCACATGGTTAAGAAAAATGTCTTTACAGCTTCCATCCTACAAATGATACTCCACAAACTTTGCTTTCAAGTCTCCCATGACAGTAGTTTTCTAATTGCAACAGATGTCAGAGCGTCATTGTCCATGATAATGAATGTTGAATGGCCGTTTCCTTTAAGCCAGGCTGTTGGGGTCATGGCAAATGAGATGTGGTCATACCATGACATAATTAAACAGTTGTATTAATAGATAATTCCCATAACACTCCCTCGCAGGTCACATACAGAAATAGCAGCAGCGTTGTACACCCCTTCCCTGTTCTGCTTGTTCTGCTCTGGCATGATGGGAATGATAAGAGGTCTTTGTGAAACTGCCAAGAAGCTGTAGGGAGAAGGAATGCTGTCCCAGCCCTAAGAGATCTCATGACTTGGAGATGATTGCAGGGGGATGGTGGGAGAGGCAGAGGCACACGTGATATTGCCTCTGCCAGCAACAAAGGCTTCCTTAGAGTCAGTAGCAATATGTTTGCTGCTGCCTTGTTTGTTTGAGCTGCCCTGCTTTTGCTATGCTCCTGTGAATGAGGGTCTTGTGTCCTCCCCGCCTGTGGCTTGGAGATGGCCTAAAGCTGCTACTGGATGATTCTAGTCTGATTCCACCTGGCTTTTGGAAACTCCTGTGGCTTGGCCAGGTGCTGGGGATGACCCTACACTGATGGGATCCAAAACACCTGTTGGGAGTCATCCATGGAGTGTGGAGCAAACCTTGGTTTGGTCAAGTAGGGCCCTCTGCACCTGGAGATGCCAGGCTGAAAATGAGGATGGGGGAGTGAGAGTGTTGGCTGATTTTACTGGGGTCATATTTCCTGTCTTTAGAGACAACTGAGTAGTATATTTATCCATTGATTTTGTTGAACTCTGCTTGTAGAGGATGGGTTTACTTCCAGTTATCAAAAAAAACCCACTGTAAAATGGATGTCTGGTGAAGGTCCAGGCCCCTTGTCCTATATATCAGTTCAGAGCTGTCTTACAAAAGATTATCAAGAACGGCAAGAACAGCTCATGTGGATATAAGTTTTAAAAGATCAGCCATGCTTCTAGAAGGGCGTGTTTCTCTGAAAGAAGATAGCCCAGAAATCCCATTCTTTTATCATCTATCAAGACTAAAAATCAGAAATCAAGCCCGAGCTCCATCCATACCTGGTTTCCCATGAAAGGCTTAGCTTGTAACACTTCTCTCTCCCATTTTGTCATCCAGGCACCCAGACCCCCAACTCAGCTGGACTTGAGACCAGGTTGAACCTTCAGAAAACATATAACTCACCTTGTTCTTCGTGTTCCTGCTCCTAATTTTCACCCTGTGCATGCATGGTCACCACAGGCACTGGTGAACTTCATATAACATTATCTGGCCCTAGAACATGTGACCGTGCCTGTGTGAGTGGCTCTGGGTTTGTTTTTTTGCTTTTTCTTTTGCATGAGTTCATAAGATTTGGGAGCCTTTATTCGTGGTTGGATGATGGAGGGAAGAGCTGTGGGCAGGTAGGTTTAATTGTCCTTCTCAAAGCAGAGGATTGCTGGAAGCTGGTGGTGGCTGGGTCTGAACTGCTACAAAATTCAAGAAACTGCTTTGAAAGAGGAAAAAGTAAAGTCCCCCGAGCTGGGGAAGGAGAGTTTCCCTAAAGAGATGCAGTACCCAGGCCAAAGTAATACTTGAAATTTATACTGTGGACCTGCACCTGGGACATTTCCCACGCAGTGGTTTTCTGGCTAAGCCAGCAGTTTTGGGGGGTATGACACTGCTGAGCACTGGCATTTTTCGCATTTTCATTGTACAGCAGGCCACATCTTCCCAAGTTTATGCAACCTCCTTATCCTTTTGGAGAAGAAAGTATTCAGATCTGGGCCCCAGTGTTGGAGCTCCTGGCCGACCTGGAACAGGGTCTTTGTTCTGATGTTAATTAGTATCTATTGACCCCCTCTGCTGTTCAGATGCAGTGGGGCGTGCACAAGCTTGCAAATACGCTTACATAAGGAGCAGCCCAACTGATGTCTGGCTCCTGCCAATAAATTAATTGCTTTTGCCAGGACTGCATCTCCGCTGGAAGAAGCAATCAATTTCTGGCTTCCAGCGAAGATCATGCTTTCCTGATACCCAAGCACAACATTGCATCTGTAATCATCACCTTTTCTGCACAAAATTCATCCGAGTTTGGATTCAAAATCCTTTTCTGGCTCTGTTCATAGAGTTTAATGTAATTTTTGTTTCAAGTGAGTTACTAGGGTGGATAATTCCCTCCACCCATGGGCAAGCGAAGTGTCTGAGAGGCAGGGAGGCTGGTCCCACCAGGCAGAATAGTTTTCCTCTCCGGTCTTGACGTCTTGCTCACTGTTTAGATACCTGTCAGGGGAAAAAATTGTGGTTAGTATTGATATTTGCTCTGATGAAGTTGAGAAACGGGTTTCTTTTAATATCCAAGGTCTAGGGAATTCCTGCTTAGACACACAGAGAGTGTTTACTGAGCAAGAAAACAGCTTTGGTAGCTGGATTATCGCAATATATATCCCTTCAGGTATGTGATGTGTTTTAGCATTGTTCTTAAAATCCTGTCAAACCATCCTTTCTTGCTAACTGTAAATGAGGGAAGCACTGTGTCCTAATTAAGCTGTTTGCTACAAGCAAAGCTCAGCTTCTCAAATTGCTGTCAGAGCAGTTAGCAAATGTGGGAGGCTGGTCTCCGGTGTGGCTGTACTGGTGGAAGGAAACCAGACGGTCTTGATTTTTCCTTACAAAGCTGTTGACCGGTTGGGGGGGGGAATGGTCTAAGGAGACACGGAAGAAGGATCCGGGGAGTGAGCAGTAGGGGAGCAGAGGGTTGTGGCGAGGCAGGACCCACCGTGATGGAGCCAGTCTCCCGGGCGTGCAGGCACAGCTCCCCTTGGGGATGCTCAGCCCCCTCCCAAACCCCGTGGCTTGCCTTCCCCGGGGAGGTGTTTGAAGGTTTCATTTGATTCGCACATCCTGCATAAAGCAGGCAGCTCTGCTGAAAGTAAACATTTCCTTCAACTCCAGCCAGGCGGACGAGGTCTGGAGCTGCCTGCAGCTCTGGGCAGGACCCCGGGGGAAGGCAGGGCTGCCCGCCCGGGTGACGGGGAGTCCCCGCAGCCGATAGGCACCGCGCCAGTCCTGCTCGCCACCCGTCTCCACCGGCAGGCTCACCCGGCAGATCGGCTGGGGTGCTGCCAGGAACGGCTGGCCTGCCCACTGCTCTGCCTCTGCCCGTTTATATGGGCAGCCACGGAGGTGGGGCTGAGCTCTTCCCCCTCCACCAGCATCCCAAGCTGCGGGAGAGCAAGCGCTCGGGGTAGCGAGTAACGGGACCGCGTCCGACTCGCCGGGACAAGATGGGGAGGAAGCTGGACCTCTCCAAACTAACCGATGAAGAGGCCAAGCACGTTTGGGAAGTCATTCAACGTGACTTTGATCTGCGGAAGAAAGAGGAGGAACGGCTGGAGTGAGTATCTGCCCGGTGGTCCGCGAGGCTGGGTGCAAGTAAGCTATAGTTGCAGGTCCCTGTTTCTTCTGCTGCATATATGGGTTGCAGGAATAAAGCAACATGGTGAGACTGTGGGCAAGGAGGAGCAGCCAGGACCTGGCTGTTAAAATCAAACCCAGTGGTTAACAGATTATGTTATCAGTGGCAAGGTGATGCATTCAGGCTGCCAAGGTGCAAACTGGCACCGTGCTATCGGTGGTGACGCAGACCAGTGTCACTACAGTGGTTTATGGGGACAAATATCTGGCCTCCACCTAGGAAATGCCTTTGTGGGGCTTGACGCTAGTGTGGCTCTCACAGGGAAACCTTACCTTGGAGCACAGGATGGAATCTGGCTCCCTTGCTCTTGTTTCATGTGATGGTTCTCATGTCTGTAGGACAGGAGGGCTATTCAGTGATTCAGGGGGCCCTGGGAGTCCACAGACTCCTGAAGAATCCTGGAAAAATAACTGAGAGCAGTGGTAAACCTACTGTAGTAGCCTTAAATATGCTCTACAGGGGTCCATGACATCCTGGGAAAGTTTTAGGGGGTCACACATAGGGAAAAGATTGAGCAGCAAATGGATGTATCTTCTAAGTTCTTATAAGCAGGGCATTTGACAAAAGTACTGTTTTAAAAGTGTTCAGACAGATTACGTTAAATTTTGAGCATGAGAAATTGTGGTGGTTTAGGTGTTGTTTGTTAACTAGGTTGGGTGTTGAGCTTAATAATTTCATAGCTTTATTTCAAGAAGCTACAGCATCCCTGTTGAGGGTCTGGCCAAGTTCTCATTATTATCCCAACAGGATGGCCTGCATTCCCAGGCCAGGTTTGGGCAGTGCTGCACTCCTGCTGAGCCCCTGCACCCCTCTAGCTCTGAATTTTGTGAGCCACAGCTGGTGCCAAAGGCAAACTGGTGCCTGGAGCCAGGAGCTCATTGGTTCCCCTGTCAGATCCAAGGGGAAAGGTGAGGGGTGAGAGTCATCCTTCTTCACTTGGGCTATCTGCATCTGAGCTGTTGAAGCATCCCCTAAAAAGCTTGCTGTCATGGGTTTCCACACAAGGCTGTGTGGGATTCTCCATTTACACTATTAGCCAGGAGAAGCTCTCACTTATATATTTTTGAACCTCCTGATTGTTTTTTTACCTAAGAAAACCCAGCCTGTGTAGGAGGCAGTGATAATTCAGTATCATAATCTACTGCCTTCCTCTGCTGGTAGCTCTGCAGGACCAAGATCAGACAAGGATATTTTAAAAATTATCACCCTGGAAAGGATGAATATTTCCCTTGTGATGGATCTGAGCTGTGCCTGGAGGAAGGAGGTGGGGACCGACATTGCTGTGCCCTGCAGCAAAGTAGTGGGTGAGGTGAATTCCTTACCTACTTGACCTTGGCGCCAGACTGGCTTATCTGGGTCCACTGTGATGCCCAGGAACCTCCCAAATTGAGTGCCATGGTATAAGAAGTGTAAGATAGAGGGAAGGTCTCAGGATGCTTCTACCCGGCTCCTGCCGCTTCTCTGAAGCAGTGTTCCCTCTGTCCCATCAGTCATGGCTTTTTATTCCTTTTGTTGTTTAATCCTGTCCCAAGGAGGGCTGGCGTTAATCCAGCAGTGCCTGGCACTGCCCGAGTCTCAAGGGTAGAGCATGTTACCTGGTCCAAGGCTTGGTTGCCTCTGTCCACAGGCTCAGCTAAGGCCATACATCAGATATTTCTGTAATACCTGGCATAAACCAGACCACCAGTCTGGGAAAGTTTGCCACACTCCTCCGTGCTGGACACGTGAGCATTTTCTGCCTGTTAACAAGCTGGGACATGATGTGACATAATGTGATACCCTGCAGCCATTCGCCCTTGCTCCCTGTGCTCTGACCATCCCCATTTGATTTTCTATTAATTTGCTTTTCTAATTCATTAGGCTTGTCTCAACCTGCAAGCCTTGAAGAAATGGTTCCCCCC